GTGAACAATCAGGCTTGACGTAATTGCTGGATGTCATAAAACCATTGATGTCAGTAGTTTGAAAGGCTGGCCAGCCGCCCTGATTTCGTCAGGTGACAGCGGAGTCTTCTCAACTCAAAATAAGTTGACGATGTGTCTCATGACGTAAGTACAAGTGGCGTTCCGCACAAAACGCAGCTTGTCGGCTTCAATACTGGCACACAGCACGTATGGTAAATATTAATACAGCCTGTACAAAATAAAAGACTCTTATGTTATCTATAATAAATAAAAGAGCGGAATTTTACGAAATTAAATACTTGCTGGAATATTGCCGCTTACGCAGCCGCATTACGGGTTGGTATTGCCGCTAGACAACAATGCTTGCGTGTTCCTGGCAAAGGCAGCATTATGCCTGAATGAGCGACTTGATTTTGACAAATACCGTAGAAAACATCCAGCCCCTTGTCCAGCACGAGCGGTTCTGCAACATCCAGACCTTTGTCCAGCACGAGCGGTTCTGAGCAACCGGGAGCTAAGGTAGAGTCACAACAAGGTCTCTGTGGTATTTCTGATGTGGAGGGGCAAAGACAGCGTTGCACAAATGGAGCGCTGCAAAGGGCTAAAGCAGAAAGCTCTCGATCCAAATATCCAAGGCCGGTCAGACCTTGGCTATGACTGCATACCAACACGTTACTCTGGATTCACATGTCAACAAGTGATGAACCTCAAACATGTGATATTTAGATACAGTAGGCCGGAACCCATTTATGGCACAATGACATCAGCAACCATGAAACACATCCCATTCTGGGACTCTGTTTTAGCATTGTAGCCTAGTGTGTTGAGGATTTAAACTCGGGGCCCAAGGACCAAGTCGCTATGCCAACCGGGAGCTAAGGTAGAGTCACAACAAGGTCTCTGTGGTATTTCTGATGTGGAGGGGCAAAGACAGCGTTGCACAAATGGAGCGCTGCAAAGGGCTAAAGCAGAAAGCTCTCGATCCAAATATCCAAGGCCGGTCAGACCTTGGCTATGACTGCATACCAACACGTTACTCTGGATTCACATGTCAACAAGTGACGAACCTCAAACATGTGATGTATTTAGATACAGCACGCGGAACGCATTTATGGCACAATGACATCAGCACCACGAAACACATCCCATTCTTCCGGGACTCTGTTTTAGCATCGTAACTTAGTGCGTTGAGGATTTAAACTCGAGACCCAAGGACCGAGTCGGTATGACAAACATGTCATCAGATGCGTCTAGACGTCTTTTATTAGCGTCGATCAAAGGCGATGTTGGTGCTGTCGAAAAGTTGCTTGCGAGAAAAGCGGACGTTAATGTGAGGGACAAGGTGTTTAACCGGACGCCATTG